TGTTGCAAGGGATTATTGAAATTTGATTATGTTAGAACAAGAAAAAGTAGCTCGCGCGAGCTCATGTAACATAAATGTTGAAAAACCATTGGTTTTGTAGGATTCGGACAGCGCGCGCGGAAGGACATTTTGACAATTGTTTCTTAAAAAACCATTGGGTTTTGATGTTTTTATGTTAAAATCGCTACGAAACCTAAGGTTTTGGAAGGATTTCGTCTTGCGCGCACGAATGTCCACTTTACCTTATTTTTTGCAAGGGATTCTTGCAATTTGATCAAGTAAGAACAAGAATTTTCATTTTATGATGTTTTTTGCAAGGGAAAACGAGCGTCAACAAAACAACCGGATCCGGTAACAATCGTTTTGCCTGAGACTTCCTCACGAAAATGATGAAAATGTGGCTGCGGCCTAGGCGCGGCGGGGGGGTCGCGCACCAGGGGTCCCAACAATAATTATTCTTAAGAAGAAATAATGTTCAACAACAACAACAACAACAACAACAACAACAACAACAACAACAACAACAACAACAACAACAAACAAGGGAGAAAAAAAAGAGCTCGGAGAGGAGGAGGCAACGAGAAGGGAGGGGGGCAAGGGAGGATGCTTGAGGGCGAGCGAGATGTAACACGAGGGGGGGAGCAGGGAACAAAACAGCCGAGCACAGAATCAAGAAACGCATAGCTTAAGAGATCTGGGCCAGGTTCCTGGAAAATGCTGAGCATGAGCCCGGCAAAGTTCCGCTGCTCACGCGGGAGGGGCGAACGTGCTCAGGAAACTGGATCAGCTTTCAGGCAAGCTGACTTGGAAGCGCCCGGCCCAGCTTCTGGGGAGGGAGCTTCTGAACCAGATGCCCGACCGTGAGCTGGGCAAGCGAACCCCGACGGGCGGGTCGGAGGGCCAACCCGAGCGGGCGGCCGAGCGGGGCGGTCCGGGCGGGCCGGACCCTGGCCGGAGGAGGATCGGGTCGGGCGGGCATCGAGGAGTCCCCCTGCAAACCTCCGTCGTGGGGAGGAGGCTCTCCTCCTCCTGCTCCACATCGTCCTCGAATCCTCCTCGAGATCCTCCTCCTCCTCGATCCTCGAGATCCTCCTCCTCCTCCTCCTCATCCTCCTCCTCTCCTCCTCCTCTCCTCCGCCTCCTCGCTGCTCCTCCTCCCGGGCCAATTAGAGCGGGCGGTGCCGTCTTCCAGGCACCCGAGAGCCAGCCCCCCAAAGCCGGTCGGGCAGGACATCGAGGCGGGCGTCGGGCCCTCCAAGCAGGAGGGCAGAACGGGCGGACCCTCACTCGCGGTCGGACGGGCCAGGACTGCTCACAGCGGGTCGGGCGGCGGGGCTGGCAGATGCGTCGGGGCGGGAGGGCACTGAAGCGAACCTCGCAAGTTGCGTGAAACCGCGGGCGAGAGCACGAGGCCGGATGAAAGTGCGAGAGAGTCGTGCGCAAGAGCCGCGACTCCTGGGCGTCGAGAGCGCCGCGTCTCTGAAAGATTTGCAAAGAGGAAGTCCGATGAGCGCGATGCATGAGGAACGTGTTCTGAAGTCTCCAGCGCGATCGCGTTTTTCTTGGGGCCTGGAACTATTGGCACCAACACCAGCACAGGGTTTGCCAATCCCCCCCCAAAAAAAAAAGGAAAAAAAAAAAGGAGATAGATCTGAGATTTCGGGTGTTGGTGGTTATATTTCGGTCACCTTGGAAGCAGAAATATCACAACCATCACCGAATCGGGATCACCTTTCGCCTTTCCTTCGTGGGGGCACACCGCCGATCTTGGTGTTGGTGTCAATCTCTAGGACTCCGAGTTTCTGGATTCACTGTGAAGAAAAATCAGGCGTAAGCGGTTGTTGCTTTGTCGTTGTAAACAGGTGCCCAGGGGCACTGCTTGAGCATCAAAACTTTGCTCCACCAAAAACCGAGTGCGAGCCTGGGGGGGGTACTTCAACTGAAAAAAAATAGGCACCAGAGTGGAGGGATCAACTATACTCACTCGTCAAAAATGAAAACTGCATCATGCCACTCAGCATATATATATACCCAAAGCCATCGATCCCCGCCCATTTCCCCTTCGATCGTACCCCCGTTGGGGGTACACCTCCCTTGTCTGCCACGTGCAGGTCGGCGCGGCCCCTTACCACGGGAGGCAGGCAGGAAAAGCAGAAGGGAGAGAGCGAGGCGAGGCGGAGGAAAAGACACCCGAGGGGGACAAGAGGAAAGGAGGAGAATTGAGAGCGAAGACGAGCTCCTCCTCCTCCTCCTCCTCCTCCTCCTCCTCCTCCTCCTCCTCCTCCTCCTCCTCCTCCTCCTCCTCTTCCTCCTCCTCCTAACGGGCGGGTCGGGCGGCACATTGAAGCGGGCGGGCTTCCCAGCAGGCGAGTGGGCGCACCCCACTGGGCGGGTCGAGCGGGCGAACCCCAACAGGCCGAGCGGGCGGGCGGGCGGGCGGGCCCCAACGCGCGGGCCGGGCGGGTGGGGCACCGAAGCGAACTTCGCAAATTGCGCGAAGCCTCCGGCAAGAGCACGAGGCCGGCCCGAACTGCGAGGCGGTCTCGCGCGAGAGCAAGAGTCCTGGACGTCGAAAGCGCAGCGCCTTTGAAAATGGTCAGAAGTCCTGGGCGAGAGCGCGACTCCTGAGGAAAGTGTGAGGACGTCTCGAGCGAGAGCACGATGTCAGCTTGACTGTGCCGAACTATCACGCGGCAGACACTGTGGTTGCAGCTGGGGGCCCACGGGGTTGAGCCTCAAGGCTTTCCATGACAAGTGGGCACCGGGCGGAAGGGGCCAACAACAATTGCTCAAACGCAAAAATGCAAAGTATTGGGCTGGCCTCTGGCCAGTGCCGCCGATCTGGGGGGGCTCCGGAAGTGGAGTTTTCTATACCCCCCTGTCCCCGGGTACCGAAAAACATCGGAAATGACGTCGGAAATATCCCTGTGTACCGAACAACGTCGGAAATGACGTCGGAAATAACGTACCCCCCCCCCCTGCAGAGCGAAGCTTGAGCGAGCTCAAGTCCACGCTCTCAGAAACTCACACGCCGGATCGGCGGATTTCTCGTGGCCTCTGGAGGCGCGGGGGGTTCCTAGGCCTCAGAGTCGACCCCGGGGCCCGTCCCGAGGTGCGGCCTGGCCAGGATCCCGGGGCGTGTCCGGCCGCGGCAGCCGGCGCGCCCCAGGACACCCAGCAGTGGCGACGAGCTGCGCTGGCGTCCTGTCGCTGCACCGACCTTGCAGACGTGCTGCAGCGGCTTTTGTTGCGTGGGTTTTTCCGTCAACGCCAGAACCCGAAGCGGCGAGTGGAGAACGAAGTGAACTTCGCGCAGATGTTGTGTAGTCTTCACTCCTGGCCTACAAGAAATCCGCACGAAGTGCATTTCGAAATCTAGAACGAGATTCTCCAGGACTCCCCGGGTCCATCATATCAAAATCCAAACGAAATCCGCTCTGCGATGTTGGCGCCATGAATCCTGATCCTCTTGTCATGACGCTGGAAAGCTTGACATCTGCAGCTGGAGGAAAAGGGGCCCGAAATCGCGACCGCGCCACCGACCGACGAGACGCTCACCCCTTCTGTCCTGCTAGCGCTGCGCCTCGATCTTGGCGGCCTCAATGGGATCAATCCCCGAGGCCTCGTCGGCGAGAGCGGAAGAGGAAGGAGGAGGGGAGGATGGGAGGAAGGCACGTCACGGGGAGGGGAAGGGGGGAGGAGGGGAAGGGGGGAGGGAGGGAGGAAGGAGGGGGGGAGGGGAAGGAGGAGGGGAAGGGGAAAGAGGGAAAGGGGGAAGGAGGGGAGGAGGGGAAAGGGGGGAAGGAGGGAGGGAAAGGGGGAGGGGGGGAGGAGGGGAAAAGGGGGGAGGAGGGGGGCACGATTCAAACTTCAACAGGCTGAAAACTCACCAAGTTTGCTCCAGTTCCTCGAGTGCACTTTGAAAAGCGGTGCATCGCACTATGGGGGGCCTGAACGTCTTTTTAGAGTCCAGAACGGAGGAATCCTTGGATCCAGAGACAACCAGTTTCCACAAAATCGGTGGGCCGCTAACCGATAGCAGGCGGTGGGGAAGCACAGTGCAAAACAAAGCATGCCATCGATCGCCCACTCAGGGAGCCTGGCAGACGACAGCAACGTGACAACTCCACAGACCGTTGCCTGGAAGGGAAGCACCGGCAAAAAAGAAAAACATAGCAGCGAAAGGCCGGCCACAAGCATCACAGCGCACAATTGCCCTACATCCCGCAAACCCGGCGCACTCCTTGCGCCCCGCTCAGGCAAGAAGAGGGATCATAGCAGCGACACGCCGGCCTTTTGCATCACAGCGCACAACTGCCCTCCAACCCTCAAACACGGCGCATTCCTGGGGCCACGCTCAAATGATAAGGCATTTCTGGCCCGCCTTTTTGGAGCTGCGTCTGGCCTCCGGGCCTCAGATAACGACACGCTTGCATGGTCGCGCCACCCCAATCAGCCACCCGAAGGGCACCACTCCACCGGCTTCAGCGAGAACCCCCACGCACGCCAGGGCGGGGAATCCTGGCCGTGGGGAGACTGGGTGATAACGCGGCGACGAGGTGCAAGAGTCTTTCCCCCGCCCGCCCCTGCCGAACATCGTGGTTGCCCACAACTCTCCGACAGGCACGGTCGGGGTGACGAACGGGCGGCAACCTGCCTGTTTACCAGGGAAAGTGCCCCAGTGGCACAGGTGCCTGGGAGGGGGGGGGGGGGACGGAGGGAAGGAGGTCTTTGCTGTGGACCGCTGCCCGTGAAGCTTCCGAAGAGACTGCCAAGCAGGGAGCTGGAAAATGCGCAAGCTCTGAGGAGAGAGGTGACGTTGTGCCGAAGCGGCACGAGGCGAACCTCAGAGCCGATTGCGAAGCCGTCCATGAACCTCTCGCGGCTACAGCAATCCAGGTAGATGGTGAAGAAGATGCCCTCTAAGATGAAGACGACGCGCTCCTGCCTGCGGTCATGATACCATGACACTCCATCGCGGCGTAAAAGATCCCGCCTTCCGTCAGCAGCTGCACCAACTTCTCCAGACGTTCCGCGTCCGCCTCGAGGATCATCGGTATACTCGCAGGCGCCGACGGGTCAGCGGTGCCCGCCGTGACGACAGACATGGTCCTGCACTCGTCGGCACTGTCGCCGTCGCCTTCAGAAACCATCTCAGGCCCACGATCAGCGACTCCAGCCGCCACCTTTTAGTAGGCACGCCTTGAGCTCCAGCCACTCCGCCAATATCTTTCACCTTCAACGTGTCATCGAACCTGCAGTCATCGGCACCACGGCTCACGCCCTCAGAAAGCTCACGACCACAACACTGGGCAGCGAGATGCTTCCCCAGGCAGTCGAGCTGCTGTTCCTTCTTCTTATCCTGCAACGACAGCTTCTTTTTGGATCGCTTGAGCTTCTTCTTCTTCTTCTCCTTCGTTTTCCCCCTCTCGTCGTCCACAATTTAGAACCTCTCCGCTGGGCGTTGGGCGGCGGCGGCGGCGGCGGCCTGGTACTTCTCCTCGGGGAGATCCTTGCCGAACGTGGAGGAAGCGGAAGAACTGGCCGCGAACGGGCCCGTGATATACCCCCTGGCGGCCTGGCGGCTCCCCTCAGGAGTGCTGAAACCAGCGCCCCGCCTGAGACATCCTTTAAATCTGCTGTAGACGCAGACGATGTTGGGCACCGAAACAAGCAAACCGCCTGAGACATCCCCACAAACTTGCCGCGAACGGGCCCGTGATATACCCCCTGGCGGCTCCCGCTAGGGGTGCTGAAACCAGCGCCCCGCCTGAGACATCGTGAAAATCTGCCGTACGTTGAGCAACTCAGACTAAGCGAAGGTCTGAGTATGTGCAGGTCTGAGTATGAGTAAGTCTGTGTATGAGTACGTCTGGGTATAAGTAAGTCTGGGTATGAGGAAGTCTGCGTATGAGTAAGTATGTGTATGTGTACATCTGGGCATGAGTAAGTGCGAGTATGAGTAGGTATGAGTATGAGTAAGTCTGAGTCTGAGTAAGTCTGTGTATGAGTAAGTCTTGGTATGAGTAAGCTTGGGTATGCGTAAATCTGTGTATGAGTATGCCTGGGTGTGAGTAAGTCTGAGTATGAGTAAGTCTGTGCATGAGTACGTCTGTGTTCTGGGTACGTTCTTGTTCTCTGGAGTCGGCGGTGTCCAAGAAATAACAAGAACCCCATCTTAGGATATGGGGAATTAGCATGGCGAAAGACCCAACCATATGCAGTTATGAGTTCCGCAATTGTGAATATCTTCTTCGGTGGCGCTCCCTATAGGGCCCCGAAACGCTGTACTGGGTGGATGAAACGCAGGGAGCAAGGGCTGTGCTGGGTGGTGGCGGACGCATGCGGGCGGTGCCACTGGGACCTTCGGTGGAGCCCCCTTATGCGGCCACGACACGCTGCACTGGGTGGGCGAAACGCACGGCGCAAGGACCGTGCTGGGTGGTGGCGGACGCATGCGGGCGGTGCCACTGGGACCTTCGGTGGGGGGCCCTTTTCATGGGGCCACGAAACGCTGTACTGGGTGTGCGAAACGCAATGAGCAATGGCTGTACTGGGTGGTGGCGGACGCATGCGGGCGGTGCCACTGGGACCGTCGGGTGAGCTCCCTACGGGGCCACGAAACGTTGTACTAGGCGGGTGGAACGCAGGGAGCAATGGCTGTACTGGGTGGTGGCGGACGCATGCGGGCGGTGCCACTGGGACCTTCGGTGGAGCCCCCTTTTTATGGGGCCACGAAACGCTGTACTGTGCGGGAGAAACGCAGAGAACAAGGGCTGTGTTGGGTGGTGGCGGACGGATGCGGGCGGTGCCACTGGGATCTTCGGCGGGGCCCCAATGTATGGGGCCACGAAACGCTGTACTGGGTGGCTGAAACGAAGGAGCAATGGCTGCACTGGGCGGTGGCGGCCGCATGCGGGCGGTGCCACTGGGATCTTCGGCGGAGCCCCCATTTATGGGGCCACGAAACGCTGTACTGGGTGGGTGAAGCGCAGAGAGCACGGGCTGTGCTGGTTGGTGGCTGACGCATGCGGGCGGTGGCACTGGGACCTTCGGTGGAGCTCCCTATGGGCCACGAAACGCTGTACTGGGTGGATGAAACGCAGGGAACAAGGGCTGTGCTGGGTGGTGGCGGACGCATGCGGGCGGTGCCATTGGGACCTTCGGTGCAGCCCCCTATGGGGCCACGAAACGTTGTACTCGGTGGGCGAAACGCAGGGAGCAAGGGCCGTGTTGGGTGGTGGCGGACGCATGCGGGCGGTGCCACTGGGACCTTCCGTGGGGCCCCCTTTATGGGGCAACGAAACGCTGTACTGGGTGGATGAAACGCAGGGAGCAAGGGCTGGGCTGGGTGGTGGCAGACGCATGCGGGCGGTCCCACTGGAGCTTCGGTGGAGCTCCCTATGGGGCCACGAAACGCTGTGCTGGGTGGGTGAAACGCATGGAAGAAGGAGGGAGGGGAGGAGGGGGGGAGGGGGAGGAGGAGGAGAGGAGGAACGCGGGGACCGTCTCTTCAAAAAAGGGACACAACACCACAGGATGGTTGGGAATAAAGACAACGACAACGACAACGACAACGACAACAACAACGACAACGGCAACGACAACAACAACAACAATAACAACAACGACAGCAACAACGACGACGACGACGACGACGACGACGACTACGACAACAACAGCAGCAACAACAACAACAAAAACAACAACAACAAACACGACAACTGCAACAAGAGCAACAACCATAACAATAATAACAGCACCACCACCAACAACAACGACAACAACAACAACAACATCATCATGAGCATCATCACCACCAACAGCAATAACATCATCATCATCACTCCCATGATCATTTCAATAGCCGTCAATATCATCATGATCACCATCACCATCGTACCAAATCATCTTCATCATCGCCTCATCGCCATCATCATCAGCATCACCAGCATCACAATTAGCATAATCATAGTTACCTTAGGCATCATCATAATCATCATAATCACCATAATCATCATCAGCATCATCATCATCATCATCATCATCATCATCATCATCATCATCATCATCATCATCATCGGCGTCGTCATCATCATCACCATCACCATCACCATCATCACAACCATCATGCCACCACCATCACCACCAGCAGCATCATCACTACCACCACCACCGCCACCACCACCATCCCCACCACCACCGGCATCGTCAGCATCACCATCACCACCAGCATCCTTCCCCCCTTCCTCCCCCTCCTCCTCGTCCTCCTGAGACAGCAGAACAAAATCATGTCGACACACGCGCCTCTCCCTGAGCTTCGGCGAGACCGTGATCAAAAGGTAGCCCTCCTCCACGACATGAGCATCATCATCCTCAGCAGCATCATCATCATCATCATCATCATCATCATCATCATCATCATCATCATCATCATCATCATCATCATCAGCATCATCATCATCATCACCACCACAATCACCACTACCACCAACACCACCACCATTACCATAGCCACCCTCATGCCGGCGGGCAGCGCGAGCGGGCGCCTTCTCCAGCTCTTCCAGGCGCCCCTCCAACTGCTCCATGCGCCTCTCCGCCTCGCGGAAGGGGAGGGGGGAGGGGGGGGCAGGGCCAGGCATGGGCGAGGGGCAACGATAGGGGGGGGGGGCTGGCATGGGGAGGGGAACATCGACCTGGAATCGGCGACGTGTCGCCGACAGATCGGCGATGGGCCCCCGATGCCCCCAATGAATCCGCACCCTCCTGGGCGGGGTGGGGCTACTGGACCCACGTCGGCGATCAGCGGGCGCTTGGGGCGACGCATGCCCCCTATGCCTATCCCCCCTACTGTTGCCCCTCAATGGGAGGAGACGGAGGAGAAGGAAGAGGAGCAGGAGGAGGAGGAGCAAGAGCAGGAGGAGGAGGAGAAGCAGGAGGAGGAGCAGGAGGAGGAAAAGGAGGAGGAGGAGAAGCAGGAGGAGAGGGAGGCGGAGGCGGAGGCGGAGGCGGAGGCGGAGGCGGAGGCGGAGGCGGAGGCGGACGAAGAGGATCGGGATCGGGATCGGGATCGGGCCCTTAGGAGTTCGTCTCTGTGGCCTCGTGCCGCCCTACGCAACAGCCCGCCAGCCTTTACACGGGGGAACTCTGGGGGGCGAGTCCAATCGCCAAACCTTCTAGTGCGGCCCGTGGCTCACGACGGACGCCGCACCGCCCCCGCAGGCACCCCCTCACGGCACGCGACCTACAGGGGGCCCACGTTGGGGACCTGGGGTTACTACCGACCTCTGCCATTCTTACCCTTCCCCGTGCCTTTCTGCCTCGGATGCCTCCCCTCCCTCAAAATCGTCGGGGTGGTGGAAACTCCTGGGCTATAGGCGGTGGGTACTGGGGGGGACGCGGGCCCAAAACATTATCAGGAACGACGCCTCTCTTAATAAGCTCAGCCAACCTCGAACTACCCCTCAAGTACTCGACGTTTCTGACACCACGAGGGCTCGTGGAGGAACGCCCCGCGCACGAATTCACAGAAGGCTGGGCCGCCTGGCCGCCGCTGCCGCTGCTACCTACGCCTTGGTGAGCTCTGCCAACAACTTCGACGCATCCCTCTCGAGCGGGCCCCGAGGTGCTGGGCCGATCTTCCGCTCTCCCCCGATACTATTCAAGAGGCCCTCGATCATCGTCACCGTCGTCATGCCCAGGGGGGGGGGCCTGGTCGATCGCGTAGATCAGCCTCCCACGAGCCTGCTCCTGCTGCTGGTGCTTCCCCTTGCTGCGTTTCCACTGCCAGTGCAACACCAAGCACCCGACCTCTGCGACCGACATCTTCGAGAGCCTCTGCACCCAGAACTCCTTGATCTCCCCCATCCACCTTCCCTGGGTGACTCCCTCCTTCCCCTGTTGGCTGGCGGCCCACATCATCACCTGCTTGAAAATGGACACGTACGGCGGCCCGCGGCTCTGGAAGTCGACCTGCTCCCCCGCCTTTTGCTTGGCCTCGAGCTCCTGCGACTGGTCGTTGTACTGCTGGCCCGCGTTCTCGTTCTCGACGGCGAAGTTCGCGTCCGCGCTCACGTCGCACGCACGGCGCACCGCGCTGCTGAGCTCCGCGATCGCGCGGCTGTCGGCGAGGAAGAGCTTGGCCAAGATGGTTATGTAGCACGTTGGCGCCTCCTGCCACCTTGCGGGCCTCGTCTCGGGCGCTGCTGCGCCCCTTCTTGGCCGCGGGGGCGGATGACAGGCCCGCCATCCAGGCAGGCTTGGGAAGGGGCCCTTCCTCGCTCATCACTCGGGAAGGTACACTCCCCCTGAACGTGGAATTTGTCCAGCGCAGGGTCGACGACCACTGAAAGATGGCGCGTGGCCAAATGGCTGCAGAGGTCATTCAAGTCTGACGCCATGTAGTCACACACC